TCCAGCAGGCTCTCCTTTGCTTGCCCAGTCTTGTAATGATTGTGCGATCAGGTACACAATTAGCTGTATGATTACTCATTCAATGGGAGCACTGCTGGAGTGGAGGAAACACATGATAGCCTTCCACCTCAAATATGATACTGGTCTCTGAGTTTTATGATATCTTTGTCTTTAGTTATTTGCTTTAGCACTTCTTTGTTGGACATCCTGCCAGCTCAAGAGATTCTTAGCATCCTGTAGTAATTCCATATTATAAATGTTTCTATCTTTTTTTATATAGTTGCCTATTCTAGAGTCCATGATTCTTTGCCATACAGAAGAACCACGAAACACCTTGTGTAGTAGTACCATTTGTGTTCTCAAAGCCAATTTACATTTTTTTTTATTGCATAGAAAATTCTTCATTTTTTAAAAGCTGCTCCAGGCCATCTCTATTCTGCTTTTATGGTATGGCTACAGTTCTAGTGTAAATTCAATCAAACATTCCACGTTACTTGTATTCCATATTGCATCTTGAACTGCTTTTCTTGGGCTGTTTGCTTTTTACTGATCACCATGGACAAGAATTTGTTTAACATTTTTTTTTTTTTACTTTCATGTCTGGAGACAATATACAGCCATCATAATTAGTAGACAATGAAACTCATTCAAAATAGAGATACAGATCCTGATAACAATTATTGTTATCAGGATGGGACTGGGAAACCTGTAGCCATCCAGATGCTGTTATAACTTCAGCTCCTATCAGTATCAGCTGCCTATTACTAATGGGAATTGTAGTCCTAAAATGGACTGGAGGCCACAGATTCTACATCCGTGATTTTGAACCTCTATTTACTTCTTTCAGAAAGCTGAGGTTTGGTTTCTGATAGATCCACTATATCAAAATTTAAATACCAAACATATTCATTGGAGAGATACTGTATTTTTCAGTGTATAAGACGACCCCCCACTTTTCTAACCCCAAATTAGAAAATTGGATTGCTGCTTTCCCCCACCACTTCTTAAGTCCTGCAAAAGCAGGATCAAAGGGCTGTAGAAGTGGAGGGGGAAAGCGGCGATGAAAGGGCTCCAGGATGAAAGGGCTGCAATCGTGCAGCCCTTGGGGGCCTGTGAAGCCCTCCAGGGTGGATGGGAAAAGCAGTGATGAAAGGGCTGCAGGGTCGCAGTCCTTTGATCCTGCAGCCCCGCCCCCCACCACTTCTTAAGTCCTGCAAAAGCAGGATCAAAGGGCTGTAGAAGTGGAGGGGGAAAGCGGCGATGAAAGGGCTCCAGGATGAAAGGGCTGCAATCGTGCAGCCCTTGGGGGCCTGTGAAGCCCTCCAGGGTGGATGGGAAAAGCAGTGATGAAAGGGCTGCAGGGTCGCAGTCCTTTGATCCTGCAGCCCTTTCATCGCTGCTTTTCCCACCACTTCGTAAGCCCCGCGGGGCTTAGGAAGTGGCAGGGAAAGCAATCCTGCAGCCCTTTCATCGTTGCTTTTCCCACCACTTCGTAAGCCCCACGGGGCTTAGGAAGTGGCAGGGAAAGCAATCCTGCAGCCCTTTGATCACTGCTTACTTCCGTGTATAAGACGACCCTCAATTTTTAGTGTAAAGATTTTAGACAAAAGTATTGTCTTATACATGGAAAAATATGGTATATTTTCACTTAAAATGACATTCATATTCACCTACATAGTTTCTCCGTCTTATCCTTACTTTGCACTCACAACAACTCTGCAGAGTAGGGCTACTCAGTGAGTTTCAAGGCGTAACCTCCTAAATCCTATTCCAACAACTGCTACATCATATGAGTTCTATGTCTCCATGCATCAATCAGCCTCTTTTACATACCTGTTGTTGAAACTGGGACCAGAAATTAGTAGGGAGTTGTTAATAATTGTTTTGTTCAATTTGACCAAAGACTGCCACACCATACCTTTATGTTTATAAAAAACAATTAGGAAAGGAGAGCCTGGGTGGGTGGAAGTCAGTGGCTCATGTAAATAACTGACATCTAACAAACATGATTCTGCGCTAGAATCCTTTTGGGGTGTCGGTGCTTGCACACAACTTTGTAAAACAGGGTGGGCAACGTGCTGCCTATGAGGGATCCCAAAGGGAGCCTTTTAATCCCTGGGACCTCCTAGCATTCCTGGGCCCCCTATTTAAAAATAGGGAAAAATAGAATTTTTTTTTTTAAAAAAATTATGCCTTCTAGGAGCTTGGGAGATATTTCTTCCAGGTTTCAAGATGTCCCTAGGTAAAAGTAAAGGCTACCTTCCCACCAAGGTGGTTCCTATTTATCTATTCGCATTTTTGCATGCTTTGAAACTGCTAGGTTGGCAGGAGCTGGGACAAGTGACAGGAGCTCACTCCATTGCATGGATTTGATCTTAGGACGGCTGGTCTTTTGACCTTGCAGCACAGAGGCTTCTGCGGTTTAACCGGCAGTGCCACCACGGCCCTACTCCACCCTAAATTTTTAACTTTTTAAGAAAACTGTTTTGACCACTAGAGGGTGTAAGTAGCCTTTATAATTTAAAAAGAAACCCTATTTTGTAAAAGCAATTTTCCAGGGGTAGGACTTGGTGGCTTGCGCAACCTTCCAAGGTACAGAGATGGGTATATGTGACTTCTGTGCCCCAGGGATTGCTCACTCCTGTTGCAAAGCAGTGTTGAGTTGTCTCTTCCATACCCTGAACAGTTTGTGCACTGGACCTTGTACAGGTCACCTGTTACTGGGAGAGTTCTTTGGGTGTGTGTGTATGCAGTGTGTTCCAGTAGGGGCCCCCACAGCTCAGCTCACTCCTCACCTTTTCCAGAAAAGGGAGATCAGAGCTGTAAGGCAGGATAAAGCCCAGAAAGGCCATTTTCTCTAACTAGAACTTGCAGAATCTCCAGACAGCATGGTCAGACAGAAAAGTAACTTCTCCAAGCCCTGAGACGGGCCACTGTCTGTGAATTTGAAGAACTGTTGGTATTCAGTACAGATAATACTGTGATGTACAGAGTAATGGCAGGAGTTCCACATATTTCTTTGTCATAGCCACCCAATCTCAGAAATGGAGCACCCACTTTTGCAAAACTATTTTGAAAAACAGGGCTGAAGGCGAACTGATTACTATGCAAGAAATAGGCAGGAGTTGGGCACTTTGCAATGGAGACAAAGTCTGCTGAATATCCCTCATGGGTACCTCCTTCCAATCCACTGAAATCAATCCTCACTCCCTTCATTTGCAGGTACCCTTTGGGTATTTACTCTGTGCACAAGGTGGCCCTACTTCCTCCTCAAAGAGAGCAAGTGTAGGGAACTTTTGTCCCTTAAAACTGCAGTTCCCATAATAACCCCATACAATTGGCCATGTTGGCTGAGGGCTTCTGGGAACTGAAATCCACCACACGTGAAGGATCAAAGATTGAGAAAACATACCCTGTCTTGGTCATTGAACACAAAATGTTGAGACTTCTGTCTATGCAGAATTTGGGCGGTGGCTCACATAGAAGTAGCTGTTGAATCAAGAAGGAAGTAAAGTAAGCTGAGCCTTTTGCAGCTCAGCTTCCATAGACTTTCTCCTTTTGTGGCATCAAATAGCTTCCAACTTAATGGTGACCCTAATGAAGTTTTCAAGGTAGGCAAGGTGTTGAAGGACTGGCTTAGCATAGCCACTCATCGTTCAGTTTCCATGTAAGAAGACATCCAGACAGACATACAGCTCACGATTTGGGTTGCTTTTGATGATATCTGGTTCGAATCAAATTATGGCATACATACGGTACATATTTTGACTTAGAGAGATCCATCACACTCCTTTTTAGAGCCATCCTGCTCCTTTCTGGCACAGCACAATTCAGAGTGCTCTTAATTATCCCATTCAGTGTGAATAGTTAGTTTGCACCAAAATAGAGTTGTGGGCTTTATTATTCAAGGGGACAACCCTGTGAAATATTTGGTGGGTTATAGCATTGAAAGAGATGGCGGAGAACCTCCTTCCTCTATGTTCATACTGTACTATTTAATTTTTTAAAAAATATTTTCCTATTGCTGCAGTGCTATTCTAGATAAACAAGATGGCATTATGTGTATTATGCTAGCTAGATGCATAGCTGTTTCGCTATATCACTTACTTTATTTAACAACAACAAAAAAAGGAAAGTTGCCACAACCCACTGACAGCCGCAAGAAAAGGTAAGGAAAGGGTTAGAAAGGGAAATGTTATTAATTGCAATGAGGATAGATTGGAGTGATTCAGAGACCTGTCTGGATCCTTCTCATGGGAGAAGAAACATTGATTAGTGTGAACAGAAAAGATTACTTAAGTGAGAGATTAAACAGATCACAGTGAAGATAAGAACCTTTTATGCACCAGACTGCTACAACCTCCCTCATCTGGATGTGCCTTAAGACCACATTTTCTGAGTTCTTGTCCAAGAATCCATCTACTACCCCACACTGGCTCTCCACATATTATCAGTATACAAAAGCCACTTCCTATACATGCTTGGTTGGGGAAGAAAAACTCCTGCTGATCCTGGTGAGACTTGAGTTTTGAGACAACATACTTCAGATCTAGTGGCAAGCACTTAAACCTAAGATCAGGGGAGATGTGGCTTTCCCAGGTGTGAATCTCATTCTCCTTTAAGACTTGTGTCTCCTTGCAATACACATAAAACAAAGCGCCCATCAAGCTCTGCGGCTTCTATCTACATTAGAAATTCTTGATCCAAAAAGATGCACCAAGCAGCTATGCAAAACCCATAATTCTGCACCATCAGATGAGTTGTTGCAGGTTTACTTCCCTGACACAGCAAACCAGACAAAGTGAGTGTGCAACATTGTTTGGAGATTTCACTCATCACATAACTGGCATCTCGACAGCATCTGATATAGTACAATCTTTCTTATCACAATTCACGCGTGCACACAGTGGCCAAGCCAATTGTTGCCTTGCATCCTGAGCATAAACGCTGTCTCGCGACCAAGGCAGAAGAGGGTGAAAACGAAAGACAGAGAGGCTTACCCAAACAGGGAAAAAGTTCTACAAAGTTCTGAAGCCAGACTAGATGAAGCTCTGCCTCTGTGGGATCAAGCAGTCCCTTCTTTTCTCTGTGCAGCAGCGTTTGGCGAAGAGCAGTGCGGAGGTTCAGGAAAACACAAAATGTTGCTGTCTAACTCGTGTGGGGAGTCCCTCCCACCCTGGATCCAGTCAGAAAGAGCACTGCCTAGTCCTCCCTCCCTCCCTCCCTCCCTCCTGACACCCACCCACCAGGAGTTTCTGCCACACTCCCAACTCTCTCTGTGTGAAGTTGCAGCTTTTTTTTTGGAGCCTGTGAAATCCCATCTCCCCTGGAGGAAAGCAACAGCTGGACTGCTTCATTCAGAGTGGCATGGAGCAACTCCACGACTTTTCCTTGTCTGGATCTGACTCACTCCTTCAGACATGAAGGAGGAGGAGGAGGAAGAAGAAGACAACTGGTTTATTGCAACCCTGATTCTGGCACTCTTGAATCCACTTTGGTGTGCATCGGTATGGATACAGGGGTGGAGAGAGACAGAAAGAGAGGCGGCGCAGCTGAAAGTTTTCCTCTGGCTGCCAAGGCACTGAAGATGGAGACCCAAAACAAACATCTCTCTTCCTGAAATTCCTTTTCCAATCTTGCTTCGGGGCAATGAGTCATTGTTACACTCATCTCTCTTTCTTACACACAAGCACATACACACACACACACATACATGAGAATCTACACAGAGGCATCTATGCAAGCGCTGAAGAGATATTGCACACCAAGTTCAGACTACAACTCCCAGATTTCTGTCGACCAACGGAAGTTGCAGTCTAAAAAAAGTAACTTTTTCAAGCTCTGATCTTTCCACAAACAACATCCTCAGAACTTCTTTTTCTAACTGCCTCCTGCACTTTCTAAGTAGGAAAAGTAACTATCTGATCATCTGTCATGTTGGGCTAGAGGGTTTCTGCGTTTGTTGTTGTTGTTCTCATCATACTACAACATCTTGCCAAGGTTGCATGCTAGCATTTTTCAGCCATGAAACCTTCCAAAGACCACACACATGTCAGCTGGAGTGCTCAAGCTCCTGGGGTGTGGCTGCATGTGATAGACATCATAAGGACTGGCAACGTGTCTTCTTTACACAACACTTCCCATTATTTCTGGGGCCAAGAACAAGCTGAAAAACATCCTGGCTGCGGTCCAGCTCAAACATAGCCATGAGTGCAAGTTCTTTGCAGCTAACTCGAGGCCCACTGCTGTTAACAGGATATACTGTGACTCAACTGAGGTTGCAAACTTATATCAATGTATCTGGTGGTAAACCCCACTGAACTCAGTGAGACGTCTTTCCTCATGTTCCTCAGACTTTGGAAGTAAAAAATCCTAAGTAATGTAATCTATTCTAATGCATTACATTTTTTTTACAACAACAAATGACATTATATTTCAAAAGAAATGTAAAAAGAAGGATCACAGTACATTTTGAGGTGTACTAAGTAACTAGTTACTTTTATAAGGTATCTTTTATAAAGAGAAGTTGTGAACAAGAAGAGAGGGTCCCTGTACTTTTAATAATTGCTTAGAAGAGGAAAATTCAATGCAAACTGCACTTGAAGTGGCATTAAAATGCAGTGGTGATCACTGGTGGCTTTTTAAAAAAAGATTATGCAAGTTCATTAAATGCCAGATTAATGCCTTTTATATATGTCAGAAGTAGCCTATATTCCTTTATTTCCAAGTGGCTAGCTGAGTTACGGTGCAGCTTTACAGCAAGGGAAATTTATTTATTTATTATTTATTTATTTGATTTGTACCCCATCCATCTGGTCTACATGACCACTCTAAGGTGGCTAGAAATGCGAATTTACTTGGAGTTGCAATGGGGAATTCAGGTTCCCTCAGGTCTTTTCCACCTTTAATGACCATGCAAAGAGAGAGAGGAAGCCTTGTTTGCAGCTTGTTTGCAGCTCTGTTTATAGCCCAGCAAGTTACATGGCAAAGCAGGAACTGGTTAATCAGCTGTAAACAAAGCAGCTTTGCTGCAAGCTGTTAAAAAAGAAAGGGCTTTGTTCATCCTTATCATTAAAAAAAGTGGGGGGAGAAAAATAATGCTGATCGGCTTTGTTTGCTGTCCCCTGAGTGTGTGCTGCTTCCTCCTTTCTGTTAAAAGAGAGAAAAACTCTGCTCACCTTTAGCTTTGCTTTTTAAAAAAAATCTTGCTGATGAACTTTGCTCACTGTTCTCTGAGTGTGTGTTAACGTGTTGGTTTTTCTGCATTGGCTCAAGTGATCACATATTTGATGTGAATGGATCAGTTTCTTAAAACATGGAAGCCGCAATAGTGGAGGGGAAAATTTACAAATTGGGAGGGGGGGACTCCAGACTGATTTGTATTTTCTTTTGTGTCTTGCGGTCAACGGAAAAATGCAAATCTGCCTGCCCCACATCTATGGTAATTTCCACATTTTCCCCCAGGGTAATAATGTGCTTAGTCTGCTGCAGCAAAAGGAACAAAGAGACTTGTGGGACCTTACATTTTATTTGATATAAGCTTTTGTGAAGTGCCCATGAAGAAGGGAGCTGCAGACAATGAAAACTCAGGTCAAATATTAGAGGCATGCCAATTTGTGTTTTTAGACTACAACTCCCAGGGTTCTCCATGCAGCTCAACTGCCAGAATGTCTGAAGGATTATGGGAGTTATAGTCCAAAAACACAAATCCGCATGCCTCTAAGTAAATATACCTTGTTGGCCTGCAAAATACTACAAAGCTTGCTGTTATTTTTGATGTAACCAATTAACAGAAGATTTGGAATCTTTTAAGCTCAACTGCCAGAATGTCTGAGGGATTATGGGAGTTGTAGTCCAAAAACACAAATCTGCACGCCTCTAAGCAAATATACCTTGTTGGTCTGTAAAACACCTCAAAGCTTGTTGCTATTTTTGATGCAACCAATTAACAGAAGATTTGGAATCTTTTTCTTTTGATTTTTTTAAATCGCCTTTCTATTATTGTTACATTTTGTTATCTCTGCTGCCCAAAGCAGTAGCTTTGTTACTAGTTGGGAAGGATAAACAAACAAACAAACAAACAAAAAACCACCTTTCTATTATTGTTACATTTTGTTGTCTGTGCTTCCCAAAGCAGTAGCTTTGTTACTAGTTGGCCAGGATAAACAAACAAACAAACAAACACAACTACTCTATTGGGCATTTCTTTAACAGAAGGGACAATGTTTAACCATGTGGAGCTGAAGTCTATCCATCTGATGACCAAGGCTGCAGTCCATGAAAGCTTATGCCGAAGAAAAGATGTTAATTTTCAGGGTGCGCCAACCCTTTGTTATATCTCCTGCGTTATGACCACGTATCTAAAAAACCACCAAAAGCAAATATACAGAGAGGTGTTTCTGGTGGCTGTCAATCCAAAGGAGTGGAACTCCCTTTTCTTGAGAGCAGATATGGTGAAGGTGTGTGGCTACACGGAATGCAATTTGGACTTGAGACCCATCAGTCTTTGTCAAAGTAGCTAGTCGACAAGTAGGATAGAGTTGATGGATGGGAAACTCATGAGTTTCCACATAGCTGAGCTAGAAGTCTCTTGAAATCTGAGCCTGAACAATTTTAAAAGAGTTTTAAATGCTCCACTATGTATTTGAGTTTATTTGATTAATTTCTAGCCTGCCTTTCTGTCTCTCAAAAAATGGAGCCCAAGGTACTCTCGCAGAATTCGTCAATTTTATTTTATGCCATATAATTTGATATTGTATATTCTACTATTCATTTTTGTTTCATAAGTATGAACATAATAAACATAGACCATTGATCCTTCTTGCTTCAATACTTGTCAGATAT